ATTCTTACAACATTCCATCGTGTTTCAGATGTCAACATTGCCCTTGAAATTGATTTATTAGTGCTGCCATAGTGCGAGAATTTGCAGGAGGAGGGAGACCGAGATGCCATGCACGTCAATTCCTTTTTGGTTCAGAAAATTTTGACATGTGATTTTTCCCTCCAAAGGTATCTTTTGATGAGATATTCAGTAATGATTTTCAAAGGCAGGGACATGATAATTCATCTTAAACAAACCAAAACGAGCCCTTGTACAAGCTCTTCATGAACATCAGAATGCGAAGCCATCTGTTATCCTCACGTGGCCTCTGATGCAATGTGTTGAAGAGGTAACAGCATTCCGATTTCATTCAATGCGGAAAGCTGCTGCGTAGTTTGGTGAACGTGTAAAGGGCGTTGTTGTTGAAGGTGAAAAAAATGTCAATTCCGAACTCATCCAGATTGATTACTTTAGTGCTAAAAGTGCAGGAAGAGAAGTTTCTTTTTCTTCGGCTACCCATGTAGTAGCGAGATGATTCGCAGCACCAGCCTAGCTGTTTCAACTTGTGCAGGGTGCGTTGAAGCAACTTCATGGAGAAGAGTCGCCCTCCTCATGATGAAACATGCTGTCACACCTCTTGTAAGCCTCCAATGATTTTATACCTTGCTGGTAACGCTTTCCCGCTGTTATGGTTGCATTCGTTCTCGGAGAGCCAGGTCGCCAGGTCGCATAGGAGTCACCGTAGTCAGTTTTGTATACCTAATCCTGGTTGAACTACCCAATAGAACTTTAACTTTTTGCAAAGAATTTACTCTACATAGCAAGCCGCAACATGGTAGTCGTCCCTTGTGGATATAAGAAGAGGGAAAAACGATATTACGGTACAACGAGTGTCGCAGCACTCACATATCGCTGCTCCTACGTTCACGAAAGGCATTCTAGACGAGACAGGGTTCGACGTCCTTTTTTTTCAAAATTTTTGATGCTGCCGCATTCGCATTGTAAGTACAAAATTACAGCATAGCAGAGCATAATCCACAAAGGAAACGAGGGTCTTTCTTTGGGCTTTAGGCCATTTTCCTGATTTTTTTCTCATTCTGAACCTGGTCGCAGCTCTTCATTTCATTTCCAACCTACCTCTAAGGTGGGTCAGAGATAGGGTAGTCAGCACCTTGGTTTGACTTGAGCGTGCATTTTTTGTTATCGGTAAACAATCAGCTAAATTACAAGACCAGTTGGTAACGACCCGATCTCTTTTTGCGATGCGCCACGCGTTCTACTTCGATTCACATTACGGTATGGCACTTTGACGATTTTGCCACGCAATGACATAGGAGGATCAGCAGTGGACAATTCAGTGCTTGAATCCCACCACACGAACCTAGACCAATCAGCCAATCCCGGATGGACGAAAAGCTCGATTGTCCGATGGAAACCGATTTGGGATTCGATCACCACTTGCCAATACAACACGTCCGCACAACGGGGCCACCTATTATGTTGGAAAAACTGCGGTCAGAATCGACAACGCTCCTTAAAGGAGGATTGCACGGAAAGAACGAAGGTCGAAGAAGGGAGAAATCGCCTAGTGGGGAGAGCGGTGAATCTCTTGAGGGTGCGGACAGACACGCAATCGGCATCGAAAGATTTGACCTCTGAGATCTAGCATGGCTCAAAGTTGGCGAGTTCGGCGATCTCCGCCCACCGATCGTCTGATCACTCGCCGTAGTACAATAGGTGGCGAGTGATTAGATAGCTGAGAGAGCGTAGGGTTGAAGAGGGCAAAGCGATGAGAGTCCCATCAATGCTCAAATCAACGGACAAGGAAGGGGTCCCATTTCTCCGGTTCTGGGCCGTTTTTCGTGGTTTCGCTTTCTTTCTGGTACTACTCACCATCTCTACCTCAATTTGGAATGGGTTGCTTTTCCATCGTAAATTCGTCCTTTAAGCCGTCGCTCATGCTAAGTTTGTTCCTCTGTAGCGCTCCGCATTAGAACCCATTGTCAACTTGGCGAAGCGAGTGATTCACTAGGCGTCCGAGGTCGCGTCCGCGCCAGTGAATCGTTAGAATTGCTGTCAACCGCAACGCGTCAGCGGACACTAGCGAACAGCTAGTAGCAAGTCGATCGATCCGCAAAGTCTGAATCGGTTTAGTCTTACCCACAACCTGCCTACATCATCAAGTCCGTCAACCACATGAGGGTGTTGAGGCGAAGATAGGAGAACTAACGAACTAACGGAGAACTTTTAGTGTACACTAAGGGACAATTAAGGATGTCACTGTGTGGATCTAACCATTTTTTCCCATTTTTCATCCACTTCCCAAAGTATTCTATAGTCGCTACTATTCAGAGTAGAACTCAAAAGCGTTGCGTGTCAGAATTCATGAAAGCCGAACAACACAACATTAATATTCAGCTAACTTTTGAGTCCGGTCTGAAATTGGTTTATTGTTTAGCGGACCCAGTCACACCCATATATGACCAGCTGTAAATACCATCTATCCACTTCGACTTGTCCGTAAAACAGCTACTTGCAGGTCTACCTTACGAACAGTTCACAACACTGTCTTACCAGTGGCTTCGCAAAAACAATCGATAAAGTAAACTTACCACAGAAGTTGATGCCAGCCCACAAAACCCTGTCAGAAATACCTTTTAAATTTACTGTAAACTCATTATCAATCAAGTGATTAACACGATACATATTGGTAATAACGTCCTAACATAATAGTTATATCGCGAGAAAAATAAATAACTACGAAACAACTCATAACAAAAATTATGAACTATAGCTGAAAGGACGAACAAAAAGCTACAGGAATACGAATAAATTAAGGTGTGAGGGGAGCAAAAAGGTTGTTATGACTTTTGTTTACAAGCATTGCTATATAGCACAAACAACAACTTGGTCGTCACCGTATATCGAATAAGCGACATGGCATAAAGAAAAAAAACAAAAAGAACTATTTTGGAAAACATAGAACCAATGAGATTTAAAATACCGAGCTCTTTGACTTGGGAAAGATGTAATTGATCAAAAGAATTTTCTATGGAGAATTTTCTTGCCTTCGTCCTCATATTCCTTCTTACTGACCCATAGTTTTCGGAATGTATCCAGACTAGCCAAAATTGATCCACCAATCCATGTGGAGTAGAGACGCTCCTAAACAATTAGTTGGCCACGATAGAAGTCCGTTCAAGTGATGATTGTTGAATATATTATACACATTGTTTTCGAAGATTTCTGGGCACCGATCTGGCGCCGAAAAATCTTCGAAAAGGCCAAATTTGCAATTACGATCTCTCTCATCGCTATGAATAAAAGTAAGCCGACTTTGGCGCCAAATAAATTATCTGTTGGTGCGGTAACTAAACCGTCGCCCAACCTGTTCGTTGGGCAAAATCTGTTGGAAAAAAGCTCAGCCTATGATCTGGCCTCTTGCAAGCTTTTCTTAATATTTTGCCTGAGATATGCTGACGCGAAACCTCTAAAAAACGTGAATGTAGAATCTCCTACATTCATTGACATGCTGAAACTTGAACTTTTCGCATCGAAGTGCTTATTAGGGGAACTGCATTTACAATATACCCGTTGAAATTTTGTTATGACTAATACCCTTTATAAGAGGCAATAGTTTGACTTAACGCGGGGTTTACGATACAATTGGTATGAGTTCGCAAAGAAATTGGGAATGCTGAATAATGCGTCAAAGGCGAGAAAACCAAAGAAATCCGCTAAGAACACGCAAAATGGGACCCTTTCTTTGCCCTTCGATAATGGACGAGCCAGCAACCAACTAAGAGGTCGTTCGCACGCGTCAGCCCGATAGCCTCCATCCTGTCAAGGACTACCATGCTTTAATTAATAACGTCCACAGAAAACTTGAGAGAATACTGCCGCGAAGTGAAGACCTTTCAAATGAAAAATGAACGATGGTGCTCTGGCAACACAGGTGGGCGAAGCACAGGCCAAGGCGGAGCTCAGAAGGGACTGGCAGCCCTAAGGCGCTGCAACTAGCACACCTCGGCCACATCTCGCTTCCTGCAGCCCTTGGCCTGCTTCCATTGATGTAACTAATTTCACGCTGCACACACCTTATCGTAACCCGTCGCTTTAACGCAGCGCACAGTGTTTGTGTGGCAGTGCAATTGCTATCACAAACGTAGGGATCAAAAGATATAGAAAATGTAGTGGTCATGCGTTTGCTGAGTCCAGAACTGGAGGGCAAATGGCCTTCGCCTTCTCTCACGAAATTATACAAGCAAACTGCCCGGAGTAGACGATCAATTGAGAAGAGCAAGCCAGTAAAGATAAATTACGAACCTGTGGTGCAGTGATCCTCACTTTCAAATCCTGCGGAGAAATTTTCCTCATCTGAAACAATAAGAAACGTGAAAGATGTGTAAAGTTACAACAAAACAAAGTAGAACCTCAGAAAGGAGTCGATCTCCAAACCCTTGTAATAACGTGGATCCACCGCTCAAAATTATGCTTCCGTAAAGTGTTTTTCGCACATCCATATCACATTTCTGAAAAAAAATACTTTATAAAATAAACTAAGTAGCGTGAACACCAGCAGACCACTTCTATCTGCTAATGTTATCATCTCAGTCGCTCCTACAGTTAATACCTGTTGGGGAATTCGAAGCTTAAATGCGACTGAAGTCGTACCTTGATAGAGTCGTTCACAAGCTGAGGAATTCCCGGCCATTCCTCTCCAATCAACTCCGGTCGGAATAGGACCTCTGGAGCACGGAATCTGCTAGCTCCTATCTCGAGGCGAGACCCATCCGGTAAGGGATATATAAGCTGGAAAGGGCCTGTCGTTGTTTTTAACCAATACATTTCGTCCACAAATTCGCTAAGAAAAAACAATCAAAATCCTAACTGAAACTCTGCCGAAAAACTGACTGCGGGATTTATTCAGTGAATCAGTTCTGATATTTCAGAATTCAACTGTCTGTTAATGAAACGGAAGATTCAACGAATCTGGCATAGCAGGAGAATTTAAGTGTTGAACAAGGTGAAAACTGATCTATTGGTACACCTTCCACGCTCTAAGCTCCTGTGAGCCATGTCTCTTCCCTTTCCATCTCCAAAACGCATGCATAGTCATTTCTCGCAGAGAATAGACAAGTGGACGAAGCGCGCGCAGACGAACAGAGCGGAGCGATGCCGAGTAACCCCCTCCAAATTACAATGGCACTTTACTAATTTCGACATTCCCTTGTTAGAAATTGGCACCCGACCAAAGACTGATAGTGGCCAATAGACAGACAATTTCCAGGCATATATAAATTTCATCTTTCCTCATATATTCATTACTAACGACCCCAATTCAAGGAAGAACGTTCACAGAGCCTCTGACAAACCTTGTCGCTCTCATTGGCTTCCTCCTTAACGACATTCGTTGCCAGGTAACAAGCCTTTTCCTTGATTTCACGAACGATTTCAAATTCGCTAGTTCTGTGAAGGTCGGTGCCCTCTTTACGCAACAACAGTCGTAACCATCGGGTAACATCACGCCCAGCAACATCCATCCGTCCGATGCTGAAGAGAAGCAGCTAGCCACAAGATTCGCAGAAATTGTTCAGTAACAGCTGGACGTTTACGTATTCGCTTGATGTGGAGCGGGAACTCACGCATGATCAATTGCAAAGCCTTCATATATGGGCACAACGTGCGTTACTCCATCACCGGAATCAAGTACAACACCAGTTGTGCGACCTGGAATTGGACAAACCAATTATTGAAACGTGCTTCTGATTGCGAACGCATAATCAAAAGGCTACAACTATTTATCGAATTCGTAATTGCAGTTGCGCATAAGATAGCCTCAAAGTTGAACAACAAATTGTAGTTTGATACGAATCACTACTGTCTGTCATCAATGTGCTATGACATATGATACCTCCAAATAAAAGAAATGATTGTTTCACTCAAACCCACAACACATCCACCATTACGGTCCTTTCGTTGTGTGGTTCTTGTCTGTTCAACGACGAAAACGGCGGCAGGTTAAAAGTGAGGAGAGGCAACGGCTCAAGCCTTCTAATATGTTCACGAATACCCATATTTAGCTTCACCCGCTCACTTTGAAATTCGTGCAGTACATAAGCTGGGTTGCGCGCAAGGGATAGTATACTCAATCTTTCAGAAGTCCTGCCTCAGTCGTAAAATTGCGCGACGGTGCAGTCACGATTTAGCAGTAATGACACTCGATAACACCCACCTTGCAGATCTTATCAAGGACTTCCACCTTCTACCCAGAGAGAGAAAAAACAAGGCTTCAAACGTGTGCAGGCTGAGTGCAAGTCGATAGTTCTGGACAAAAATAACTTTCAACTCACGTCCTAGATCCCATAGCTAAGAGTAGTTTGCGTTCAAAACACGTTGACTTCCGCGCATTAACGTTACAAATCCCACCGGCTACGCCGCTCCTCAAGAAATGCTCAAACGTGTACCATAAACAACTGTAAAAATGTTGACGATGTTTGCATCGACGAATTCTACGTACTACAACTACAAGTTGTATTGTCCAAGAACTCCATCGCGCCTAAACCAGACAAGGGAAATACAGGCTTGAGAAAAAACTAACGTTTGCGTATACATATGACTGTAAACGACTGCCGAGGAGTATAACAGACAATAGCAGGCTTGCATTTGAAAATGTGAGAGCAGGGTATGCATTGAATGGATTCGAAAGAAGGATCTCAGGCTCCTATAGAGCACTGATTGGATAAATTAGAACAAGAACTATATAGGGCATAGGACTGCGTACAAGATTATAGCGCGCTTTTGCTTCTGGTGTTTCAATCGCGATTTAATGTGCTTCTGTCAGAAGTATACAGGGATGCTCTTTGCGGGAAATATCTGAACAAATTATGCTCGCAAAAAATGCCGATCAAGAAACACACCAATCCAGAATTGGTTGAACAAGAAAGAGAAATTTGCGAGCTAAGAGGATCGAGTTTGCATCGGAATATGCAAGATTGAGAAATTGCGGTAAGTACATTCATTTTATTAAAGCTCTACTAGCAGCTCTACACAAAGCACCACCATCGAACAATGACTGGTATCCATACACGCCATCTCGAAAGATTTCTATTCGGCAATTTACACAAAAATTGCAAATCGTAGGGGCCATTTTTTACAACTCGACATTATCATTTGCTGCTTGAACTGTAATATGTATTTGCCAAACTATTTTTCCCATATCATGTTCCAGGAGTCCGTGACTATACCGGTTCTCATAGATTATTTCAGGTGAGAGGGACCACTCGATACTCCAGCGCCTCCACTAAGACCCTTGGATTGAGAAAATCTGGTATTAAAAAAACGGCGTAAGATACCAGCAAGCATAACCACATCTGCAAGATGAGACGTGATGCGCCGTTACCTATGAAGGACATATCTGCCTTCCAAAGCGGCCGGCCATCGTAACTGCGGTATGTTTCGCGCCTCGGTAAGCCCACGAATTAGCAATGCGTGACTCGTCGGAGTAACTGACACACCGCAAATCCGGCTTTATTGAGACCAGAGACCATTGTCGAATAGACCTACGGTTGATTTGCGATGGCAGTCGTAGTCCATAGGTGTACTCGCAAGTAACCCGATACGGGTGTCTCCCCTCTGCGAATCACCGCAACAAAGTGTTTTCCTTCAAGTTGCACCGATGCATTTATTTAAATAGCAATATTACAAAGTTTTTAGCGGAATATTTGTTTGTCACAAGAGATTGCATTTTCGCATTCTATAAAAAGATTCAAAGACCAGCCAACGATATTGTACGCGGTGCCAGACTTTGCAAACGCAAAGCCCTTCGATCAGACTTGCGAATCAAGCCCTTCGATAGCGTCCGCGGTCACGATTACCCATGAATGGTTATGAAGAATTCTCAGCCCTCACATGCCCTCCTTCAGAAACTAAATGAGCTTATTTCTCGTGTAGATCACTGTCCGAAAATAGAATTATTTCCTCCAACCTTTTGACAAGGGACTACATCGGAATTCGCGCGTAAAATCTTTTTTGGAACGCTTGGTTTTTGAACAGCTTAGACATAAAAGACAGTCACCATATTAACAACTTGGATGCAATTCTAGAACAACGGTCTTTACAATAAACGCTGGGTGTGCAGAACAGATTGAGCAATTTTAGCGAGTTCTAGTAGGTTTCATCCACTCTGCAAATACCTTACAACTAAATCTGATGAGTTTAGCTCTAAGGCAGTTGGAAGAAACAGAACCCCTGCTCAGCGAGGCGTTGGTTCCCAATGTTTTCTCTGTTGGAAAGGAAACACAATGAAAGCGAACTGATAGACCGGAGATCAGCCTTCGAGACAACAAAAAGTGAGAATTAAAGGACTTCTCCTCAACAACAGTGAGAAATATTGTCCAGAAAACAATGAACATTTGAAAATAAAACTCAATGGAATTTGATTCAGTTTGCGCGCTTGCGAAATGCGTATGGTCGTGTGATTTGATGTACGGTCCGTGATCTTCAGATTTATTTTTAATTGACGGTTCCTTTTGAGTGGTGGCTTCCCTAGCTGCTTTTTCTGCATTATTCAGTCGTGTTATGTTCGCTCGTGACCGATGTTTCCACTTATTGATCCTGAACATATCACTTCCGAATCCGTAAGTTATATTACGATTCATCATTGGTTTTCTTTTCAGATGAAACCAGCGAATGTGCAACGGAATAGCGAAGAGGACGAATTCCCTGACGCTGCTTTATTGTCCTTTCGAGAAATCCCTTCTGGAGATCACTCCCTTACCCCTCAAGAGCTATGCTGCTTCGACGACATGGCCACAAGCTTGGTTGTCGATTCGGTGCTCAACTTCCAAACTCACAAAATGCATCCGAGGTAATTTTTGAAAATTTCTGCGCATTGGTCGCAGTTTTTAATATTGGACAGATATAGGTTGGAAAAAATATAGGATGGACATGCAAAATTTGAAGGGGTCCCTCTTGTGAGGGAATTCGTTTCTGCCTCAATCTAGTAAGGAGCTTCGGTTCATTTAAATGTGTAGGAAATAATATCGTTGTCATGTGCCGCAGCTACGCTTCAGTGTCATTTTAAAAAAATTCGATTCAGTCCCAAGCTCTGCTCTGGCAGTTGCGCTGAGCAACATATACAGAACGTTGAAAGGGGTATTCCCAGCGCGCGCCACTGGACGCCCGTTCGGAGTATTTTGCTGGCTCGAGCGATCAGGTGTCGATGCTGCGTCCACATCGAGCACCGGCGCACCAGGGTATGCTTTGCTGTTTTACGAGTTCAGGACATGGACAGCCAGGCTATCGTTGTTTTTTCGAAAAGAGCTATTTTCAGTGGGATGTAGACTTGTGGGGTAGATGTTCTTTTGGGATGTCTTCAGAACCTGCAAGGAAAGGCTGATTGGTCAATATGGCCGTATGAAATAGAAAATAGACCTATATACGTTCTCGGGAAGCAGTAGGGTTTACAACCTGCTCCGATTATTTGCCTGGAATGAGTTCTGCTAAAAAAAGGTAGGAACGCAGGGAATCGCCGGACGTGCAGTAACCTGGAACTCACAGGGTCGTGGGTCGACTCGGGTGCGAAAGATACAAATGCTTTTTTCAGGAATACGGCTGCGAAAGACTTAAAAAAAACACAAAGGATGGAGCAAAAAAAAGTAAAAGAATAATAAAAAAAAAAAAAAGAAAAAAAGAAAATATTAAAAAAAAAAAAGCCGATGTCAGACTTTGCAGACTCAGATTCACTGGCTGCGACGCGACCGCAGGCGCTAGCGAATCGCGTGATTCTCAAAGTCTGACATCAGCCTAACATTACTCTGAAAAGAGCAAAACCTGCTCGCATGAGATTCAATCCTATGTCCTCTGGGTTTAGTGCCAGGGTCGCTACCACTACGTTTTCCTGCTTCATAGTTTCTTTAAGGAATCGTCCCGCAAATAAGGAAAGTAGGTCCGAGTTCGGCGTCTCGAGCCACATATGTAAGTGACATATCATATCTACATGCTTAGCATTAGCGAATTGGCCTTCCTTGTTAATTGAGCCGATTTTCTGCAACGCAAATAAATTGTGTGACATGATGATAGAAAAGCGGAGCATGCACAGGTCGGGAAAGTAGGGTATTGGCCAATTTCATTGACGAAGTAATTAGGGAATGCATAGGCAGGTCAAGTAGCAGGTGTCAGAGTCTGCGATCCGTCGCAGCGTTTCGCGCGAATCGCAAAAATGCAAGTGCCCCATTTGGACATTTACACTGAATATGAAACAAGTAGAATCATGAACAACCGTCATTCAGCCTTCACCATCAAGTTGAAATGGCGGTGGGATTGGAGAGCACCTTGTGGTGTTGATCGGGCACTTGTGGTTTCTGCGATCCGTTCCGCGGAACCCTCGACAGATCGCGGTTTCTGTCGAGAAAACCTAAGCTCCGTTGTGGTCTGCTAAGAGAGCCATTACACTCGAGCTAAATGTTGTAAACATTAAGGACGTGAGGGGAAGCTGGGGATGGTGGGCGCTATAGAAAATCGCTGAGGTGACGATTTGGGGGCAAACGCTTTCATTTATCTGTTTTTCTAGGCACGGCTCCCCAAACCGTTAAACCATAATTCTGAAACAAAAGTTCCACTTCCTTTCAAGATCATGTACCAAACGAAGTGTTTGTTAGCAAATATCAACTCTGCACACTTGTAATACATTCAGTAAAATTAAGAGAATGGTAAACACTATCATAAACTTCGCAACCAACATTATCAGTTCCCCTGTCAACCGCCTTGAGTGTTGTGGAATACCCTAATTTAATGCACCTTTCCCTTTTTGAGCAGTTTTAAAAGTTTGTTCAAGTTCTATTAGCATCCGTGGGAATGACCGAATAATGAGGAAACAAATGTTGCTCCTCCTAGGGAAGATTTACTGACGCTAAGTGCTCTTCCTTTATCTTTATGAAGTCGATGCCTCCAGGGCAGCATTTCGTGGTTATCAGTCTTCTAAAGGGCACATCGGTATCATCACCCATTATCCTAGGATTGATTCACCCCTTGGGTTGCAAGGAGCAGGCGTTTGCTGTTTATTTCTCCACTGGCAATCTAGCACTGCTCTTGTGAAACTGGAACCGAAGCAGTGAGAGACGAAGCGGATCGATCAAATGGCGGCATTTTTATGGGAGTATGTCGTTTCCGGGTTGCCAAAAATAATGTTCATTCGGAATGTACTCGGAGAGCAGTAAATGCACCCATGAGACGTATAGTCATCATCTGGGCGTAATGCTTCCACATTGGTAGAGGAGCGAATCGTACTCGTTCGCAAGTATTAGTTTATTCCGAATAAACTTTTGATTCGCCACAGCTACCCGATGGTAAAATGGATTTCAATGTCGTTTAGATATATAGTGTTTCGATTCAAGGGGTCTTATGGACGAGGTTCGACATGCTTAAAAGCCTAGTTAATGAGATTGGTTAATTAATGAAGCAGTTTTTCCAAGTTTATTGTGGTATTATTTACTCTTTATTAGCCGTTTTGGTAAGGTCTTCGGCACATTGTGCTCTCCTTCAATATTTTCATGTTCACACCATTCGTAGACAAATAATCCGAATAGCTTGTATTGTCGAATGCCGAGGTTTGTAAGCGCGCTATCCGTTCAGATCCCAGCTGCTTGATTTCCATAGAAACACGCCTTTCAACGTCTGTCCCGAAAACGCATCATCCTAAAAAGTGCGATGGGTTTGCCTGCATGGAAGGTTTAAAAGCGAATTCATCCGGATTCAAAAGAAGTGATAGGATGGCCTCAACGTGAATCAAAAGTTTAGTACAAGTGGTAAAAGCGGAGATTATTTTATCGCTCTCGTATGAATGGTAAGGATAATGCTGTGATGGAGTTTCAAAATATTCGAACATCGAATGGAATGTACAACAAGGTACGTGGTACGAAAAAACGTAGTCAGTACTAATAAATTGTAAAAGAGCTGGAAAAGAAGGAGTATGTGCATACTGGGCCTCAGGCAATTTAATCCTGCTGGTGGGGTCGTCCTACGTAGATATGCAGGTGCAGTTTGTATAGGTGCCATTTTACTGGTGCCGCATAGAATGTTCTGGCTCATTCGTTTTGTGAAAATACCCTCATGTGCTGCCTTCTTTGGTTCGGACCAGATACAGTCCATTTCTCGAAGTCTGATTGGGCGTGTCACCGGAAATGACGTGGCGAGCCACCGCACTTGATAGATGTCGTGTGGATAAATACTCCGCCAGATATCAGAAAGCGTGTTGGAAGCAGAGTCAACCCTGCGTTGCGCAGTTCGCAACGGCACGTTGAGAGATCCTCAACGCACGCTGTATGGGCGGAGACGCAGACGGCTCGAGCATGCGAGTGTGAATGTTCGCGCGAGAGAACGTGTCTAATCGGGCGAAACTGCGCAACGTGGCCGTTGAGAACTGCGCAACGCAGGGTTGACTCTGGTTGGAAGCAGCCTATCGCGCTCACCTTTTCATCAAGTGCGGTGGCTGCCACGTCATTTACAGTGACACGCCCAATCAGACTTCGAGATGTTGACTGTAGAACTTGTCTTGAAGTTCTTGGTAAGTTCCCCGCGAACTGTCTGTTTTTTGTGCTCTGTATTGAAAGTACGGCGGAATGACGCTTGTCACTGCTCGCCAAAAGAGTAAAGATGTCATTCCCTCTTCATTTGCGGTACATGTTTCTTTTCACTTGATTCACTTTCCTGAAAATCAGTAGGGTTGTCAATTGCTCCCAGCATTTATGTGGAGCGTAGATTTAAGTTACATATTTATCAGAAACACTTTAGGAAAAGGTACCTGAAGCAAGACGAGCGGTTGCTGACCATGAGCATAATGCGTCACTTTCGGCAGACGAACAACTTTGCTAATGCGCTCTTGGAATTCTTTTCACTGAGATCTGTGAAGGAGTTCCTTCAGCGTCTCTCCCTTCAGAAGCAGATCGAATTTAGAGATCATGTCAGTTTGCAATTCCTTGTTTGTTATGTTTGGTCAATTTCCGCTAAAAATGATTCCAGCGTGGCTCTGAAACGATTTTTATTTACGAAGCATTAGAATCCGCACTAGATAGAATGAGAATTTTATATACAGAGGACCGTATGAAAGAAATAGAGAGGGCGGCTCTGAAAAGCGATTGGTTAAAGGAAATGGGCGGTGTGGGCCGCTTGATTTGTTATAGTTAAGTTGGGGCTCACACCTGAAGAAGTCGCTGTTGATTGTTGATTCGCTTTGCTTGACAATTTCGGTGTGTGTGGGTGGGGGGGGGGGGGTACTTCAGTTTCATATACACATGGCTCCTCTACGTAGTACTGATGTTTTTGTCTGCAACTTTCGTGGAGAGCTGACTGTTTCGAGCTTAAAGCCCAACATAATTACACAATGATGGTATTCAATCCTTGAAGCTCCATATCATTGAATCAATTGCTGCTTGCTTTGTGACCTTCGTACTCTTAGTCATATTCTTTCTTGGGCCCTACAGTCTAAGAATTCCGAAATGGACTTGAGTTCCAGTTTACAGTCGAAAACAGTCACCACGTTTATCTGCTGGACTTTTTTTTTACTGCAACACGAAGGTTTTTATTTTTCACAGTCAAATGTTCCTTACTCAGGTTGTTCGTTTTCTGAATGTGTTCTCTTCGAAAGCCGGTTTTACAATGGATATCTGCAGTCGATACGCCGCTGAGCAGAACATGGGCGCCAAACTTATAGCAACACGTTACTGGTGCTCATTAGCTTTATATATGGGAGGGTGACAGCTCATTCCAGAAAGTGAAAGAAAATTCATCTCAGGCAACGTGGTGATAAGATCGAACGTCTTTGTGGGGTCATCAGTGAACTAGACGACCAAGAAGAAGAGCAGATCTTGCGGCCAGGCTTGAACGATTTTTCTGTAATGTATAGCATGAGGTATCACCAGTCGCTTTTGGTTTTTTAGTCCCAATAGTGCTGAAATCGATTTCTTGAGGAAAAAATGCGCTCAATTGTGGTTGGGACCAGGTGCATATATCAACCATGACTGCCGGCCTAGTTGTCGGTTCGTGCCAAACGGACATACGGCTTACATTCAGGTAATTGTGCATTCGCCGAGCTGTGTTCTCTTTTTGATTATCTGCAGTTAATCTTAACAATCACGAAACCATGCGATTAATCATTGAAGGTTTCACGCGAACTGAAACCTGGAGACGAAATCACATGCTTCTATGGCGAAGACTTCTTTGGAGAGGGTAACGAGAAATGTGAATGTGTCACATGCGAACGGTAAGTGTGCTATTAAACAATGGAGGTGAACCATGCACAGGCTTCAGGCTTTGCTTCAATCTTACGTTGCCAGCAAAGCGAACGCTCCGCAGCACGCGAGCGAAAGGTTACAATAGCACGTGTGCTTTTCGGAGAACAAGCCTCTTACCGTATGACAAGATTGCAGCGTTGGAGAGCATAGTGACGCCCCATTTTATAGCCATTTTCTGCCATGCCATATGTTGTGACAACTGGTAAATGTTAAAGAAGCAATTGAAAAACAAAAAATCGATCAAAATGTTCAGAATCAACGCTCATGAAGTTACTATTGAGATTTGGCCATACTCACGTGTTTTTTGTTGTTTTGTGTACGTTTCGCGAAAGGCGGCAATCGTTTTTCCGATCAAATTTGGTTCTTGTTACAACGAGTGATTACAGTATTATGGTTGAGTTCATAGTGGAAGTGGGATGCTGAATAATGCCCCAGTGGCGAAAAAAGCAAAGAAATCCGTCAAGAACGCGCAAAATGGGACCCTTTTCTGCCCGTTGACCTCCGATAATGGACGAGCTAGCAACCAACTAAGAGGTCGTTTGCACATGTTAACCGATAGCCACCTTCATACCAACAGACCCCATGCTTTGATTGTAATGCATTCCACAGAATGGTTAGATACAGGCGCTTGAAGTGGAATATCTTCCCGAAATGATAATCGAAAGATTCTCCTGCTGACAACACACCGGTGGGCGGAGCGCAGGCGGAGGCGGAGCTCAGAAAGGATTGGCAGCCCCAGGGCGCTGCAACTAGCGCACCTTTAGCCACGAAAAAGAACATCTTGCTTCCTCCGGTCCTTGTCTACTGTTTCCATTGGGGCATGTACTTTCATGCTTCACACACCCTTCACCGTAATCCCTCGTTTCAATTGAGTTTTTTTTTATTTAGGCGGGGGAAGGGTGTGTTTGCGAGCCGAGAGGAAAACAGTGACAACGCTTCGGGTAGCAGTGTGGAGATGGAGGAAGTCAGCTCTTCGCAGCAGAAATATGGGCTTCGTGAGACTGACTCTCGTCTATGTCGAGCTAGTGTCACAAGGTAAATCAGGATAATCTGAAACTCATACAGTGATGTGCGATGATGAGAACCTTGCATAAGGATGTTTGTAAGCTATAATCTTGCTTTAGTCCTACTAAGTGATAGTGCTTGCGTACATATCTTGTTCGAGAAGAACATAGATCATTGATGTACTAAGTGCAATACGTCTTGGTCGGGCATCTGTGGTATAGTATCTGTCAATTTCAATCGAACATTGTATAATTATGAGCTTGCTATGGCAATCTTTGCTTGCCGAAAATGCTGTCTCTCCCAAAAAAAAAACTCCTTTTTCAATAGATCCGATTATGAAATGAGTTCTTTAGTCGGAAATTTTGTGTTTGACATCATTTTTAGTGACTAATTTTGCACAAGAAAGTTTTAATTTTCTCATGGTTTATGACATGTTTAGAGGTTGGAAATGTTTAGTCTATTTATTTCCCACGATCTTTCTCCGCCTATCTTGCTGGTACTGAATTCTGTTTCCTTAATAATAATTATAGTAGCAACCTTTCAGTCTGTTTACGGTGTCCAGATACAGTTTGTTTAGCGAGTTTACAAAGAGTTTCATATGAGTGTCATTTTAATTTCGAAGTGTATTGTCGGAAATTTGCGTGTTTTGTCGATGATCAGCACGTAGCGTAAATATTCTCTTCAGTGATAGCCTAACTGAATGTCCAATAATTTTCACTGGAATGATCTCCTTGTTTTACAGTTACGTTTAGGTAGATTGCAATATTCAACAATAAGGTTCAATGATCTAGTTTTTTTCTTCGTTGCTCACCAATAATGAATCCTTCTCAATATGCGATGAAATCCTTGTTTTGCGGAGGGTTCGTAGATTTAGATAAATAAAAAGTGCGATTTTAAATGGTGAATTATTCTCTCACTGTCTCACAACCTCACGTTGCGAGAAGAAACAGCTGATAAACGATTCTAACTCCTCGCATTTGCGCCGCGTCACCCGGTGCGCAAACTTTAAGCCTGGCGAGGTGAAAACATTCTAATGATAAGTCTGCAGTCTTTAAGGTCCAGCAGGAAGACGTCGGGTATAGCTCGCTAGGACAGATAGGGGCCTTTCGCTTCTTCCATCGTGAAACTTATTTCGATGAAGGACCACCAGATCCAGCCGTGGTTTGAGGCCCTGGTGTTCCTACAGCGAAAGAAAATTCGCGCTGCGAAAAGCGGAAAAGTCGCTGTCGGTCCTAGCGGGCCCTACCCTAAGACGTCTCTATACAATACAGATTGGGTTCAACAATTATTGAGTTGATATGAATTCATTTCAAGAGCTTTGCTTGTAAATTTCGCCCCATACCTTTAACACGTTGACGACAACGCGAGTTTTGGCACTTTTGGCCACGTGGGACCACGGCGTTTTTGCGAGCGCCGCCGCCTCAGGTTGTTCAAGCAAATTTTGAGTGATAAAAACATAAATAATGATCAATACAAGGCCAGATCAATATATTGTAATGAGCACAACCTACTCGGAGGTACAGTAGCGGAATTTCTATTGAAAGACATGGAATAACAATGAAAAAGTGATATTCTTTAGAACAAGCTGCAATAAACTTCAAAAGGCAATTTTGAGTTGATTATTTTAATCAAAACACATATATTGTCATCTCTAAGGTACCGTATCTACTTCTACTACTATTTAAACCTTCACATTCATAGGAAGAAAAAGTAAACGAAAAATTTATTAGGCTGAAGATTTCGTATGGTTCAGAAATCCTCCTCTAAATTGAAGCATACGTGACCATTCTATGGACCACTATGTTTTAGCTAGGTCAAGGTCTCCTTCCATTCAATAAATACAAGAAACTTCTAGAAGAACAGGCGTGCGCGAAAAAAAATGAGTGTAATGGGTGCGGGGGATATATCCCCCGCACGGTCCGACACGGCCTGCAATGCGCGGGATATATATCCCCCGCGTTGTCGTCAATGTGTTAAGAAGCGGCAACACGGAAGCAGGGACATCTCGTTCTCGAACAAATGTCAAACGAAAATACTAGAATATACATGCAGCTACCTGGGCTGGAAACCGCAGGCTGAATTCTCTCCCTAAGACAAAAACTACGCTTAAACTGCTCGTTCAGCACCTCCAAAAAATGGAACATCGCGCCGATTGTTGTGCACAAGTTCGCTTCATATCTCATAGGGTCTAACTGGTACACACATCATCATCGAATCGCTCAATGGACGGGGCTATCTATAATCTTTAATTCAACTTCGTTTAATGTGAGTGTTTCCTCGTGTTCGATCGTCAGCGAAATTACGTGACGGATATTCAGAGGACCGGAACAAATGTCGAAAACCAGATGGCTCTATGTTAAAAAAGTCGAATAAGAATAGAGGTGGTTTTAAAAGTGTTTACTTGTTTCCAGGCTTCTTCCAACCCGAATGCACCAAAAATACCGGGCATTCGTGGACTCTTGATGGCTGACTAACATGACGGAATGGTTTGATTCTGTTTAGTACTAGCAAGCCTTCACTGTTCCATTGAACACAATGGTCTCTCAGTTAGTAAGGCAAAATGGTCTCGTAGGTGACAACGGTCGAATTCCAATGCTATTGTTATTTAGAACAAATAGACCTGGCTCTCGATCTTAGGCGAGGCCACTGTTAAAGTCCCTAATCTAATACATATATCCCTTTCAAAAAACGAGAAGAGTGTCGGATGCAGACCAGACACCACTAGTGACGACGCCCTCCACAAACTGTAAATGCCTTCTGCCAATGAAATGATCAGCCTTTTTGCAGCTGTATTCTATCAGTTGTCACTAATTGTAACTATCGTTTAGCTATCACTATGAACCACTGCTAACCAGGTTTATTGGAGGCCGTCGTCACTTGCGGTGTGTGATCTGCACCCAAAGCTCTTCTCGTTTTTTGGAAGGGATGTAAACTGAAATCCATTAGAAGCACATTCCACGCTTGTAATTCTTTAGACGTCGTTGTTACCATTGAAAATAAATTTAGAGGGACGGAGCGCGTTGGCAGTGAAGCGAAAAGGAAAAAGGAGCCGTCAAAGTGAAGGGCTTTCCTTTTTTGGGATTGGATGAGTCTTGGGAACAGAGGGTTCGCAGATAATGGTAGGCACTGAGTGCCGTGGCGAGAGAGCAAAGCTTGAGATGAGAGAGAACGGCAGATGTGCGAGACCTAACAGTACCGTACCAATCGACCAGAGACCCTGCACCTTTGCCACACGTTGAAGGTGCCACTGTTGCGGACATACCCATCCTCTCCTCTAAAAAAAGATTGCTCCACTCGACCAGGCATTCGAAGCCTCATAAAATATGCCTCTAAAGATAGGCCTTGCGATCAAATTGATCTTCATAGAAGAGTATGATGGTTAGTGGAGTGAGTAGAGGAGGGAGCGAGTAGACGATATTTGGGTCCTTCGTGAGAGGAAGCACCCTCCCATGAAAGGTATAAGGTGCAAAATAGTACAAGCGAATCCAGGCATTGTCGCGCCGTGGGTAGGCCTGCTTCCCATCTGCATCGGTGTACTGACAGGGAAGACCTGACCACGGTGCGGGGGTACGCTACGGGACTTCAACCACGCTCGCCTCGCTCGACCCGCCACGGGGGAATTGTACTAATAATAGGCCCTTACAGTCCCTACGGTGTACATTTTATGATACGACCCTAGGCCAAAAACCTAGGACTACGTTCAATATCCTACGTTATACCTTTAGCAATCAATAAATAATGGCCGACTATTACGGCATGGATAACGAATAAACATCAAATACTTATAACATTCATCCTACGATGAATTGCACGAAATCTTACAAAAGCAAGTAATCGTACGGCAATAAGAAAAACCATCCTACGCTCACAGGGACGGACCAATCCTGCCTACGGGTTTTACGAGACTTCGGCCCGCAAGTGACTGCGAGGGACTCATCCTGGTCGGCTGTCCAACCAGTAGAGTTGTCCCGCGACATTAGATCCATTCCGCACCAATACATTCCTATTCGTATGCGGGATTGATCCTAGAGCACGCTTTTAAGCCCGATGGCGACGGAGATGACGTCATACTTCTCATAAAGGGATATGTAAAATATTTTGTCGTGAAACTTCCATCAAAGGCGGCACCCTGTGCGAGGGATTCGGATTCGA